CGCGGAGGGTCTAGTCCCCGCATCCGCAGAGCCAGCGCTGGTGCTCCACAGCCCATCCCGAGCGCGGCCGAAGGCTCGCGGGCCTCTCCTTTAGCCAGGACCGTGCTTGGCAAGAGGCTTGCAGAACCAGGATTACCCTCCCAAGTAGCTCGGACCCGCCTTGCCAGTGGTCTCTAGGTCCAAGTGATTAGGTCCCTTTAGAAGGGAGAGGTTTGGGGGCGGGGGTGGGTTTTTCCTTTTGTTCTGTTTATTTTTGGTGGCTTCGCACAGTGGAAAAGACCGGGTCCAGCGGAAATCAATCTCGGGCACTGATGTTCATTAGCTGCCTTTTGACCTTGGCCAAGTTACACACCTTCTCACAGCATCAATTGGTTAATGGAGAAAATGGAGTTAGTGTAAGAAGGTGAAAGAAAGAAGCTCACAAATCATTGGAATGTCTTAAATGTTAGATCTTACCCCTCAGTTCCTGAGATGATGACTTTTTCCATCCTGGCCCCTTCTCCACCACCCCACCCCACCCCCAACCTCTAAAGGCTACATTTAAATGGCTCTGTTTCAAATGCCAATGGAAAAGTTAGAGAATGCAAACTCCAACTGTTCAAATTAGAACACTTTCGGATTACTTGATTTTTTTATTGGCACTTGGAAGACTCAGGAGTGTCCTTGCTGTGCTGGAAACGATACAAATTCAGCATACTGTGGCCTGTATACCTTAAATCAAACATACCCTGTGAGGCAATTTTTTTATAATTCCTTTTACTATAGCAGAAAGGAAAAAAGTCAACTTTGTGATTGACATAACCAAATTCTTTGACTTGCTCTGAAAAGAATCAATTTTATTATGTGCACTTATGAAGAGATATACATATAAAAGTATAAAGTTAATTTACTGTACTATCTATAGCCATTTTGCAACTGAATTAGAAATTTTGTCTATTCTGTGAATGTTCCCCTTCCTGTGGTATTTTCCTGAACTTCACCCCAAATACTCACTTTATAAAGAATGTAGTACTTTTTATTTATCCCCCACACTATCTGCTCTATTTATGCTTGTATCAGAGCACCTGATACTACTTGACTACCCTCATTAGTTTACTTGACTGCCTTCCCCTATAAAAGTAAAGGACAATAGGCCTGTGTCATCCTATCTGAGTGTCTAGCACATTATTTGCCACATTATTGGCTCCTTAAAAATGTTAAATTAATAAGTGAATAGATGAGTTCAAGGAAGTCACGGTTTATGGTAGATTAGGAGAGTCAAATACATTCCCCTCAGGAGTTCCTTAATTTTATTTCATACACAAACTATCTTAGTTCATTCAGGCTGCTATAAGAGGCTACTATAGACTTGGTGGCTTATAAACAAATTTATTTCTGGTAGTTCTGGAGGCCAGGAAATCCGAGATCAGGGCGCCTGCAGACTCAGTGTCTGGTGAGAGCCCACCTCCTGATTCACTGACCTGGGTCTCTACATGGCATCCTCACATGATAGAAAGAAGGGAGCTCTCTGGGGTCCTTTTTATAAGGACCCAGTCACCCTCCAAAGGCCTCACTCCTAAAACTATCACCTGGGGGTAGGATTTTAACGTATTAATGGCGGGGAGCGGGGAGACACAAGCATTCAGTTTTATAGCAGTGACCAGTCTCTCTTTGGGGATAAATTTTTTTTTGAGGGTAATGATTCCTAAACTTATGTAGTAAGATATCTCATTAGTAATTTGTTGCTTAGATGATGAAAAAGACTGAAAATTATAGGCTGAAAATTGTAGATCATTCTGTTTGTAAATCCCTTCCAATTACCCCACTAATGTTGGTTCAGTCATAGTGTCAAAATACAATAAAAGTCAAAATCAGTAGTAGAGCTGAAAAATTAGAAAATTAATTAGAAAAAAACCTGAAAAATTAATCTTCTTTGTCTCAGATAAAAGCTGCTCACTTCTCCAGTCATCAGCTTCTAAAGAATTTCTAGCAATTCTCAGTTCGAAGTCTCCTGATAGGATAAATGCCCAGCAATGGGGAGAACATGGTACATCTTTTTAGTTAGAGACCATGGATCCAAGATCATCACCTAGGGGTTTTACCACTTTGTCCATAGTTACCAGCAACTGATCTGTCCATCAATGCCCAAGGGCAGTTGTATTCTGATGCCTTTTCCAGACGACTAATCACCAGGTTTGAGATCAGAAAGTGTCTGTTTAGGTAGGTGTTTTGGAAATGGAGTTTGAACCTGCTAGTGATAATGCTGGAGGCAACATAAATCTCTTGTAGTAATTATTCATCAATGTACAGGCACACATAAATTTGTTTTTACCTTTACAAAGGGGGTATTTAAAAGTGAGGTCAAAGTAAAAATATGACATCTTTATGAACTGTAAATTTTACACCACGTTCAAAAATTTGCTGAAAATATCATATTATCTGTCAGGAGCAAGAACCTTGTCTGTATCCTGTGCCTAGAACAGAGGCTGACATAGTGAAGGATGAACGGAATAATACAGTAAAACCCAGAAAACATGTATAATGCAAAATTCACAGGATTTTAACAAAATACACAAGACTTCAATGAAACATCAGGCTTCCTTTGGGTTGTTTTGTGTTATGTAGTTGTGGTAGGTTGAAAACAAGTCCTTCCCCCAAAATACCGAGGTTAAATCTCTGGAACTTGTAAATGTCACCTTTTTTGGAAAACTAAGTCTGCAGGTGTAATTAAGTTAAGGACCTAGAGATAAAAGCATCCCAGATTATCCAGGTGGGCCCTAAATCTAATCACAAATGTCCTTATCAGAGAAAGTCTAATCAGGTGTCTTCATCAGAGAAAATCTAATCACAATTGTCCCTGTCAGAGGCAAACAGAGGAGAAGGTGATGTGAAGATAGGGGCAGAGATGGAAGGAATGTGGCCACAAGTCAAGGAAGCCAAGGAACACCTTGAGCCACCAGAAGGTAGAAGAAGGAAATGACTTCTCCTCTCTAGTTGCCTCTAAAAGGAACACAGCCCCGTCAGATTTTGGACTTTTGGCCCCTAGAAATATGAGACAATCGATTTCTGTTATTTTACGTTTGTGGTAATTTGTTCCAACAGCCCTAAGGAAACCAGTACAATAGCTGACCCTTCACAATCACACTCTTTTTAGTTTCTCTGGAGGAAGAATTTTCTAAGGTTCCTCAGATGGCTAAGGTCCACATGTTGGACCCACTATAGAGGACCTCCCTCAAGGCCCGTTCATATAGAAGATGTCATAATTCACTGATCTTTGTGATTTTTCAATCCTAGGGAAGGGAAACACTCGCTCTTTATGTCAAATAAAATGTGGGAGTTTTAACTGACAATTCAATAAAAAGTTGGAAAGAACATTTAAAGGTATGTTGATTCTTTTAATTGACATCATGTTGAGTCATGAAAAAAAAAGAATTCCTAAGGCTGTTTTTACCAGTAGATTCTGGACTTACCTATACGGCCGTCCCCCGCTGTGTTCAGACCATTCATGTAAATGAACAGCCCACATGCCTCTTCGTGTGCTGTTATAGACAACTATGATCAAGAAGCATTACTTCTGCAGCTGCCCAAAGAAGTACAAAGAAGTTGAACATATCATGCTGAATTCAGGCATAATGCTTTTGCCTGAAGTACTCTCACTTCGGGATCCCTTTAAAAAATCTGTCCAGTGAATTCTGTACTTAACATAAGCCATCTATATAATGTAATCTATATAAGTTTATTTCGAATTCATGAAGAATGACTGTTTTTGCAACCAATTTCACCCTTACACGAAGTAATGCAACATGAAACTAGGAACTATCAGAAATAGAAGATCTCATTTTGTAACTTGGTGACATGAATCTTAAATTTAAGTAGTTGAGAAGGATCAAAAAAAGGTATGGATTGCTCCAATAATTGTTTAGAATTTTAGACATACCATTTGACTTTTGACCTTAATGCACAGATTTCAGCATCCTCAGTAAACAAAAATAAAGGCCGGCCCGCCTCATTTTACATAGTGACGCACAAAGGGCTATTATTACCATGACTGAGTGACACCGTTCTTTCACTATCAGCACGTGCCAATTTTCAAAGTCATGGCGAACACCCCGGACTATTTTAAATTTTATTGTTTTCTAATTTCATTTTTATTTTGAAAACACTATGTTCGTTTTCTTTGGAACGAAACGTTCTACATCTGATTTCTTTTTCCTAAATTCTAATATTCCCATGATTTACAAGAGTTGTCGATCAGTGGTCTAATTTTGTGATGACACACTGAGGCGCTTACTTCACCAACACAAAGACCTGTCGGGCAGGAAGTTATGATGACGCCACCGTCCTAGGTAAACATCCCTGGCACCCTGATTCCGCGTCGGACCGTCTTTATTCTTCTTAGTCATTTCGTTAGAATGTTGGCCACAACCCCTAGCACTCCTCCACGTGCCTGTGAGCCTGTATGAGCGTCTCTAACCCTAAGAGGAACAGGTGCGGGGCCCGCACGATCCCCGGAGACCCGCAGGTGAGACACCGCTCGGGACTCGGACGGCTGTTCCCAAGTGGGCGGGACTCGCCGGGACCCTGCGCTCCAGCCGC